TTTTTTTTTTTTTTTTTTTTTTTTCTTTTCCAAGGGTGGCTTAGTGGTTGTTTTTTTTCCCCAAAGTGACTCGAATAGTCGTGGCTGGGTTTGGCTGCCCTATTGATAGCGGTCCTATTTTTTGCTCTACCGTGTTAGCATGCAGAAGGCAGGGCTAAATCCGAACCCGAGGGAATGAGGTACTGAGGAAAATGGATGTTGGAGGAATCTGCTGCTTTCTTGCAAGTTTGTTACTCCTTTGAATCTTTGGGGTTCTTTAGGCTCTTAGGAAGAGAACTAGGACTTACTGTGGAGTTTTGGTGGGGGGTGTGGGGCTGTGGATGTAATACCAGGGAAATGACCGGTATAGCCTTTGCTGTTAGATGCTTTTTTTCCTGATTTCCCAAGAAATACCTTCCTTTGCTCTTCCTCATCCACAGCCTTACAAGTTCAAAAACTTAAAACCTTGGGTCTGAGAACCAATCTATGTGTTTTCTATATATATTAATCAGTAAGTAACCTGGCTAAGGGTAATAAAATTACTTTGAGGAATTCCTGTGTAGATCCATGAGCAATTTTGGTGGTTTCTGTAAAGGGTAAAAAAGTGGCATCTTTTCCAATCACTGTGGTTGCTGAAGATCCAGGAGGTGTAACAAGTAGTCAGACCTGGATTTAGACAAGTATGTCAGTAGATCTGGCTGAGCATACAAAAGGCCACTGAACAAAACCCAACTCTTTTTAAGTAGGTGATTTTGAGTGCAGAACTATTCTTGTTTGTCTTTTCAGATCAGCAAGACCTGCACTGTAGCAAGGATATCCTGAAGCGAGGAACCGTGCAATGTAAAGGAGAATCTCTGTTTCAAATGATCTGGAAGGTGTATTTCCAGTCTCTTCTGTTCACAGATAGCCCTGGGAATGTAAACTGATGCAAACAGGATCACCAGGATTAGAAGCTGTTCACAGACTCCTAAAAAGGAACTGCTATTCACAGTTCTCTTGCAAGCACTTAGAGATGGCTTTGAGGGATCGTGAAACATTGCCGTATGTCCCCTGCGTGTTGGGGGAAGACCCCAGAGTGAACTCTAAGGCGTAAGAGCATTCAAAGCCCACACACTTATGACTTTATTGGAAAGTTTTAGGGGAGACCTTCCTCCATCTTATTGCCTAGTGCGTCATTAATGCTTTGTGACAGGTGATTGACTGAGCAGGAACTGGCATTTAAGTAAGGGGAGAGATGGTTATAGGAGAATGTGAGAGAAGGCATGCACAGAAAGACAGGGGAGGTGAAAACACCTGAACTATATTTAGGGAAGAGTGGAAGTGATGGGTTTAGAAATTGTGCTGGTATGCTGTCTCCTTTCAGAGACACTACTGAGCAGCATTATTTCAGTCTTGCCTCACAGAAACAGAGTCCAGGGACACCAATGGAAATAATGTGCTTTTGTCATTAATGTGTTCTAGGAAGCAACCAGGGATGGCTATGGGCACACTCACATATGTATGTACACACACATACACAGAGCTACCTTGTCCTTGTTAGGAGAGACTTCAGGCAGAGATTGCTTATCTTGCAGAATAGAGGAAGCTGTTTTAACTCATAAGCCAAGCCCTGTGCAGAGTTCTGTCTTTGCAGTGGCCATCATCGACCTTTGAGCTCAGCTGGATAAACGCAGTGAAAAAATAAGGGTCATAGACAATGTCCTGGCCTATCCAGGTCATAGCATTTATTCTTAAGGGAATGCTAACTACAAAGAAAAAGCATCCTGGTTTGGATGACTGGGGATGGAGCAAACCAGCTTGGAAGTCTTGTCATGGTGCTTGGATGCCTATCAGATGATGTGATTTTTACTGCATGGAGTGGACCCAATGCATTCATTCACTGTTTCTGCACCTTTAATTTGCTTGACCAGCCTCATTAGCCTAGTTTCTACTAATAAGTCTTTGTCATGAATTAAACAGAGACCTACTGCCATGGATTGATAATCTAAAAACAAGCAGCTAGAATTGGAAAGAAACCTGTTTTCGAGCAGATGTGTTGACTGGTGGACAAAAATGGTTAAGACGAGCCTTGACCTTCCAGAGAGCATGTGCCAAAGGAAAATGCAGCAGAAAGGTTTTTTGCCTAACATGAAAGACTATGCAGGGATCTCCTCACAAAACTTCAAGAGGTAATAGAGTTGCATAAACCTCCATAATAAGAAAATTAAATGAAGGTGGGGTATTCATTCAGAAGGAATATGCAAGGATATTGGAGGAAACTGAATGTCTTCTTTCGCTTGGTAAGCAAGAATCCTGCATAGCTAGGAAACGCCTCCTCTTTTATGCAGCCATCCTGTGTCCCTTTGATTATGCTGCCACAATACCTAGCATACATTGTTTGCAAAGCTCTGCACATTAGCAAGCTTCACTGTTCTGTAGAAGGTGAATGTTAGGATTGTAGCCATCAGAAATAGGGAAACAGAGACACAGAGTGGTTCAATGACTTGTCCAAGGCCATGCAGGAAGCTGGCAGGGGGTGGGTGGACTGGATGAACAGGGACTGTATGGACAGATCTCTGATTTCAAACATCTTTGGCATTCAGCCCAATCCTCAGGTCATTAAATGCTGCTGCTGCTTCTCTCTTTGAGAGATGCTATCTAGAGGCAAACAATGGTCAACATGTGGAAAGTATTAATTCTGTTAAAATTATTTTTGCCATAGATAATTTGTTGGTATTTTTCAAAGTCCTGATTCTTTTCAGTCCATTCCAGAAAAAAAAATAATGAATAATGGATTAATTATGTTGTTATGGAATAAAGTGCTTCCCTTATCCACTTAGCAAGGTGCCTGGGCATTGCACAGACAATTACAAATAAAGTGCAGTAGTAATAATTAAAATAAGCATGCATTATAAAAACAAAACAAAATGCAAATGAGTCAAGCCCCAGGATTTAATGGAAAGGTCTAATACTACATGATTTAATTTTATATTTATTTAGCTGTTTAATTCAGTCAAAGGAGAGTGAATCCATAAATAAGGGTATACTAATAAGCATACATGATAGGGAAGGTAGTAACATCTTCAGGTGTTCCATCTGCAGAAAAATTTTCACTGCAGAGTGTTCTTGTAACATTTTCTGAGAGGCCCTAATTCCACTTTAATTTGCAACAGCTCATGAAATTTGTTGTGAACAAATCACTCCAGACTTTTGACAGGTAGAGATTTCCCATGTTTTTCCATTTGAAATTCTGTTCAAGGCATTTCCCCCTGCTCTATCTCCTTCTCCCAGACGGTGGCTCCTCACAGCAAATTCATACAGGATTCTCCCCAATTCTTGCATTTGACCCCATTCTCCTCCACCTTCCATGCCCAGGCCTTGCAAGGTAACATCTTTCTCCCAGTAATTCAGTATCCAAAGTGCTACCACTTTGAGATGCAGGGCATATAGCTTAGGTTCCCAGCTATGATTTTATGGTCTTGTTATCAAAAACTTATAAGCTTATGGTAAGGGTTTTTATATTTCTATAATACATGTATTTCTATTGTCTTTCTTCAGAAAGAGAGTAATGTAAAAGCACACCTGAATGCAACAAAGATTATTGGTGTTCAAGGAAAGGCAGATGTAATGGTGGCCAACCCACCTTAATTAACACATTTTCTCCCTCTCCCTCTCAAAACCATCACAAGTGAAATCCCCACAGCTAGTGTTTCCCACTGGATACATTCTCATCCAGCTCTTAAGAAGCATGCACAAAGAGGCATAACAGAAATCATATAAAAAAAAGACAGAATTAGAGTCAAAGATGGGAGGGAAGAGATGCAAAAATCACAGTCTTGTGTTGCCACCTTCTAGTCTGATTTCTGGGGGAAGATGAGACATTTTCAGCCCCACCTGGAAGTCAGCAGCTGCTTGAGTAGAGATTCTCAGAACTGCTTGCAAACATCCTACAGACCAAAAAAAATTCTGCAGGAATTAGATGAATAATTTCAAAATAGAGGATAGAATCAAGACAATCACAATGTACTCATGCATAATTCATGGATGCGGGAAAAAAAAATCTGCATCTCCTGAATGCTTCTTTTACTCAGGCTTCTTTCTCTTGAGGCCTCATCCAAAACTATTCAGATCAATGAGATGTTTCACCATCTTGACTCTAAGCCAAGTCACTATCTGCTTACACCTGTGAAACAGATAAAATGAAGCTAAGACCAAGTGTGTTGCCCACAGTCATACAGGACACCACAGAGGGTCTGTAATCAGAAAGCATTTCCTCTGCTTCAGGTGAGCATTGAGTAAAGGCAGGAGAAGTCCTTTGGTATCTTCTACCTCAGTCCAGCACCACAAAGCATGGTCTACAGTCCTTCCTATGTTCTTTAAACTGAAATCTGCAACAGGGTGAAATCTCTCTCTCTCCTGTTGGAGCCAATGAATTGTTAATTCATAATGATACCACAAGATCAGAAGCAAAGGGAAAATTTATATAAATCAAACATAAAGAGTTGGGTTGTGGTAAGGACAAATACTTCAGATTCTTTCAATGTGTTGTTTTGTTGTTTTTTTCTCTTCAGTGAAGTACAGCTAATCTGACATATAAGTATTTTAAAACAGCTGCTCATCAGGAAAAAGGTACAAATTTTGTATTGTAGCCTTATCTGAGATGTGTAGTTTAAACACATTTTAAAATCTTGACTGTATTTGAACTGTGCTATTGCAGTCTTGCATTATTTACTGCAAACTGAAAGGAATCAAGGTCCCCCTTTAAAATGCACTTTCCCTTTTAATGTTGCTAAATGTTACATTATCTCCTATTTTTTAAATGAAATTAAGCTTTGACCACATAATTGATTAATTCTAGAGAGCAAAAGCTACACAGAGACATTTTCTTCAGTCAGGTTTTTGTTTGAACTGACAGTTGTTCAGTCTTTTGTAAATACTGTGGTAAAATGAAAAAGTTGATATGAGCTTGATTCTCCAAATCTTATCTGACTAGTCCCACTGAATTACATGGGGATTTTCAGATGGGACAAATTTTTGTGATCTGACCTTGCATAAGATGCACAGAAAACAAAGGGGGGGAGAGAAGAAATGGAATCCTGTTAAATCTATATTCATACTCCAACTAGAAGCTTCTTCTGCAGGGGCAGAGATCAAGTACTGTCAAGAAAACAAAAAACATGCATGAACAGTATACATTTCAACTAAGACTACAGTATACCATTTTTCTGATAAGCAGCTTTTTTAAAATATTTATATGTCAGCTTAACTGTGTTCCACTGCAGAGAGGAAAAAACATTGAAAGAAACGGCAGTATTTGTCCTTACCATATCTCAGCTCTTTATGTTTGATTTATAGAACAAGATATTTTCCCTTTGCTTTTGATTTTATGGTATCAGTATTAATTAACAATTCATCAGCGTCAACAGGAGAGAAAGAGATTTCACCTTGTTGCAGATTTCAGATTAAAGAAGGTAAAACTGCAGACCACGCCACCTGGCTTTGAGGTGCAGGACTGAGGATGAAAATGCCAAAGGAGGACTCCTGTCTCCTCAATGCAAAGGAAGCACTGCTGTTGTCTCCAATACTTTATGATTACAAACCCTCCATGGCATCCTGTTTCACCTTGAAAGCGTGGCTTGTTTAGTCTGCGCTCTGTTATATAACAGGGGTAAGCAGATGCTGACTTCTCAGGGAAATTAAGGCCAGAACAAATCAATAACGAATCTGGCCTGACATGCTACATACCATATAATCTCATGCAGCTACTGAACCTGGAACATGAGTTTAAGAAAAACATATCTCCAGAAATGCCTCTGATACCACTGTGAAGATAGTAAAAGGTAAAGCATTTGTCTTATTCCTTGGTATTTTGTCACTATAGTTAATCTCTGTCATTGTTGACAAGTTGGAATATTTTTTCTCATTTGCATTTATTCTTTTTACTTTCCAGACATGAGTATTTATGCCATTCTTCATTAGGGTGAAGAGCTCTTTAGTCCTAAAGCTTTTCTCTCCTTGAAGGTGACTGATCAGATCACCTGATGATGTTATTTTTAGCAAGCTAAATGGACTGAACTTTTAAAATGATGCAGATTTTTAAAAAATTGAGTCTTTTTTTTCTTGCTTTTGAGGTAATCCATCAGACTTGCTGATACACAGTGTGGTCCAAGTAGAGGCAGGCCAAATATTTGCTGAAGAGGTTGCTACTCATTTATGGGGCCAGGCTTCTGCTCAGGTTAACCTTTGCCTTCAAATCTGCTTACAGACAGGATCCCTTGTGCCCAGAGATGCTGTCTTATGATAGATATTTCTGTGTTCTATTTTGGTGTCTGAAAGCATTTCAAGAAGCAAATGAAGAGACAGAAAGGATCCTGTGACTCAAAACCAATAGAACATGCTCCAGACTCTTCTTTGATGAACACGGCAGAATTGCTTCAGACAGTTACCACCCTCTACATTGCTGCAACTGACTCCATACAGTAGAACCTCTGTCTACACAGCCTCTTGCATAGGACACAAAAGACTACTCTGTTTTGGGAGGCCCAGATGTAAAGAGCAGGAGGTAGGTCAAATGGTGGCAGATCACAGGTCTAGTTTTTGTGTTGCATGAATTAGCTTGACATTAAGGTTAAGCTCTGGGAGCAAGCCATTCTGTCTTGTGAATTTCTTCACAGGTGATGGGATTTTGGCAATGGTTGAAGCCAATCTAGTGACAAGGCAAGCAGCTGAAACCTTATAATATTTATCTTGGCCAGAGAGAAATTCCCCACTCATTTGCTGGCTACCTTATTTGTCCATCTCCCAAGTAAAAGCAGCCTAGCAGACCTTTTCAGATAGTGAGAAGCAGTATTTTCTCAGGTAACACTACACTCATTTTTAAAAGAGGGGAAAAAAAAAAATCTCAAAAGCTCACAGCAATACAATTCTTTCCATCCAATGCAGAGATGACAGTTCAGTCACTCCTTCCCTCTGCAGCACTGTCTGCAGCGCTCACCTTGGGAAGGTGGAGAGAGAAATGGCAAAGGATAAGGGGTCTTGTCCCTGAAAGGAGGGAGGGCTTAGGAGACAGAAATGGTAACAGCGGCTAGATGGTGAGGAGAGAAAACTGGTGTGAATTGGGAAGCATGACACACGGGGAGACTGCTGAGAACTGACAGGGAGCAGGGGACCGAGGACAGATAGGCCAGTAGTCATTGGGGTGGGGGAAGGCTGATGTTTGTTCTGCAAGCAAGACTGATATGGAAGTTGTGGAAGAGAACTGAATGTGCAGAAGGAGGCAGAAAGATGTGAGGGCAGGAGGTATGTGAAGTGCTTGTCAGTAAACTGAAGAGAATGGCTGAATATTTGTTATAAAGACATGCTGAGTATGGTGGAATAAAAACTTCAAAATTTGAAAGTTAGGTTGAAATCCACTGTGTAAGACTTTAAAAGCTTATAAATAACAAAAATCAGATGCCTAGGAAATAGAATTACAGTGGGATAAACACAAAGTGATACTTTCCCAAAATATGCTTCTGATCAGACTTCTGAGTCAGAGATGACAACCTTGCATTAGAAAAAAAAACCTCAGTAGTTTTCTCTTCTATCAGTTTGGCTGGTCTCACCTTGAACCTATCTGAATTTTTAAAATTCACAGCACCCTGCAGCAGAGAGCATCAGATCTTTGCTCCAGCTGTACCTGCCTCTCTTTCTGTGCACTACTGAGGAACAAGGACAGCATCACATCCCTGAATGAGGGATCAAGGCCACATGAGCAAACAGAATCCTCTCTCCAAAAATGTCACCACACAGGAGCATGCAGATACCTGGGGCTTGGTCAAAAGACAATGTCAGTCTTTCCATTGACTCTGTCTTAGTTTCAGGTCTGGATCCTAAAGCAGACAGAGTTATTTGTTGATGTCTTTAGTTATGATTTCTTTAAGAGCTTCCCATCTGTTCAGGTTTGTACTCTATTTCATACACATTTAAATTTCTGCTGGATGGATGTGGTAGAGTGATGGTTTTGGAAACATTCTCATTGTTTTTTAATTTCTTATGTGCTGTGTTTTTTACAGAGATCAGCACAAAAAGGCAAAACACAACCAACTGTGACAGAATATATAAAACAGCATGAGCTGCCTACAGATAAATGAAAACAGTCCAAAATAATAGAGACCAATGTGAATCATGACCAATAAGCATATTTGTAATAATGTCATCTATGTCAGATAAAAAAATCACAAATATTTATTAAGAATACAGATTATTAATAGAGAGACATCTGAAATTCAGATCATGTCTTTCAGTCCTAATTGATATGAATTAGCAGCCAAATCTACTGAAATAAACCTGACATTCTCACAGAGGTCATCATCATATCTAGCAATTTTTTTTAAAAAAAAAGGAAGGTACAAAGAAGGAGAGAGTAGATAAGCATTTTTTTCCTTGTACTAGTATGACATAGTTTAGAGAGATCAGACTGCATTAGTACTACTAAAGATGATATAAGCATGACGATGATGAGAAAAAACTGGAAGCAGGGTTGAGGGAGAGGCTTCCCCTGGTAGCTGCAGTTCTGACCCAAATCCTGTAAGCTGCTCCAGGCAAGCAGGTACATAAAGCCTCATTTTGAAATCAGTGGGTTCAAGCCAAGCACAAAAATCTGTCTAGCTGGGGCATCAGCCTGCAGTTATCATTTACCTCCTTTTGCCAGTCTTTCAGATGTAGAATAACACTTTGTTAATATGGCACGAGCTTTGATGTAATGAAAAAAAGTGACAGGGTATTTATTCTTCAACTCTGGTGGTTGCAGAATTAAGCCAATCAATTTAAAAAGTCATTTTAAAAAACAAGGTCAATTTTCAGGAGGAGCTAAATAAAAGCAGTTCTTTCTTAATGCAAACCTGGCACTAGTGCATCATGCAGATGATGGATGAACAGTCTGGAGCTCCTAGAAACAGGCTGAGGTTGTAGCAGCAGTGGGAATTCTTCCATCATACATTCTGTATGTTTCACAGCATAGATTTCAGGACTTAAACAGGATTATACCAAACTGAAAAAAACAGACCTATAAAATACCGAATGTGACTGAAACAATATTGGGTTTGGCATTACTTTTTTGTATTTCTTCCCTTCCATGAAGGTAGTGGTGCATATGCAAGGTCAAGCTCCTGCTGCCTATATTCAAAGAGGAAAAGGAGGGACTCATAATGTGACAGTCTGCCTGTGCTGGCTGGGTCTCCAAAGAGAAATAGTAGCAAAAATACCTCATCACTGCTAGTGCTGGTACAGATAAACCCAGAGAGTTACCACAATGGGTGCCCAAGTGGAGATGTTCTGGCAACTGCCAGCATTTTTACCACCCGACATGCTAATTAACCCTCTTCCTACTTGCTGGCACTTCCAGTGGTGTCACTGCTGCTTCAGCAGAACTGGTGGGTAGCCCTGACTGAAATGTGTCCTGCTTAATCATCTATGCTGTAGCCAGTAGACTGTTTTTTTCAGTGGGCTTCTGAAAAATTAAAACCCTCTCTTACGGGTAAGAGTTGAGCTATGTAGGTAAAGGCAAGGCTTCACTACATGCTTTCAAAGTCAGAGAGTAAAACAAACTCCCATTGACTTTAGCAGCAGCCAAGATTTCACCCTGCATAACATCTACATTACTCTTCTAGTGATTCTGGGGTAGTGTTGAATATGAAGTACTCTGCAGTGATAGAGACAAAGTAGAGTATTGTGCCACAGTTTGCATGACTACAGGGAATAAAGCCCAAAATAAAATCTGGAGCTCTCAACTGTAAATATCTGTCAGCACAATAAGCTGCCCCTACTCCCCACTGGAGCTAATGCCATCACTGCCAGGCCAGTCTGTATTTTAAGGAATATTCTTGTAGCTGGTTTATATTTTCATTTGCCTTCTGGTACGTCCTACTTACTCATTTTGAGGTACCTCAAGAAAATCCTTGTCTTCCTTTATATTTATATATTTGGATCCTTTCAGATATTCTTTCCCACCTGTGGCAGTTGTTTTGTGAAGGTCCTGAGTCCTTTGGCTCTTTTCCTTACAAGCCAGCTTCTTGCTCCTAATGTTGACTTACCTGTCCTGGCCAACTCAGTGCTTAGCCTACTTCCCTGAATGCCAGAAAGGTCAAATCTCTGAGTCCCCCACACCGTACATGGACACATCCACAACTGCCCACTTTAAAGACAGGAGTACCTTTGTATCAGGTTCCCACTTAATTGTATTTCTAAGACCTACAGATATAATCTTTCTTTTCATTTACAAGGCAGGAGGATATATATCTCCCACTTCAGCCTTTAATTCCCCCCTCTGTGTACAGATGCAAAATAAATTTGTGTTTCTAGAGAAAAGTCTTGTGAATTTAACATTACACCTTGATATACAGTTATTACAAGGCAGTTAATATGGCATAATTTTAAGGACCACCAGGAAATTTGGCCTGCAGCACAGAGGAATTATAATAGGCTGCTATGGTAAGATTTGAAACGAAATTAACTTCATGTGAATACTTAACAGCAATAGAATGCATTTGAAAGATTGAAATGCAAGAGTAATAACGTCACTGGAAATGTTCAACATGTATTTCAATGCTCATTCAGAAATAAAATATTTCAGGTAAGAATTTCAAGGTTCACTAGACTTCCAGTTGAGTAGAAATTGGAAAAACATCTCTGAAGGTGACACTAGGCTCTTCTATGAATCTAGTCCTTTGCTTTTATTGCATAGACCTGGAAAAAAATGGCAGAACTAAAGTTGTCACAAACAAACAAATAGCAATAATTTACCCTAAGACTATGGAGCTTTTGTCATTTACCAAATACACTGAACATGGTGTTTTGGAGTCGACTTTAGAAAAAAGCAGAGTTTAATATTTTGGTTCAACAGCCGAATCAAATAATCAATTATTCACACAACCCAATCATTTGAACACCCACCTAAATCCCAAAATAGGAGCTTGCCATTGACAGCAAAGAGTTTGGATGAACAACTCACAGGGGTGAGTTTCATTCCCAGGGAATATTGATTTCTGTTATTTAGGTTTTATTTTTGAAAATATGAAGCACTGTTTCTATCTTGAAACTAACTCTGCAGGAACAAGCTTTTATTAAAGGAATTTTTTCAGTGCAAATTTTTCTTTACACACATATTACTTGATTTTCCGAAATATGTTTCTAGGAGGCAATGTCAAAAGTACAATTAAATGGTGCAGGACTGAGTCCTAATTGATGGTGATAATAATTAAAATGAATTATTTCCTGAAAGCTACTTTTTTTTTTTTCCTTTCACCCTCATTATTCTGTTTGGAAACAGACTCTCCTAAAATGTATTGAGTGTCTTGATGTCACTATTTAGACAATCATTTGTCAGTAGGCTCTTAATATACACTGATATTTTCAGTAGGCTTTTAATAGAACATCTTTCTCTCTCTCCAGTTATATTTAACTCTAATCTTTAATGTAGGGTCTTGCATCTCTTTTCATGCTTCTCTCTTTATTAACTTTCCAGATATATTCAAAAATCCCGTAATTTGTATCCAGCAATGATTTATGTCTTGAAGCATTAAAATCTACATTTAAAAACTTTGAAGCTAATGTAGGAAACCAATAAAACACTATTAAAAGTTCCTGGTTTAAATATACGTGATTTGAAAAATATGAATTTTTAAAAGAGCTATTTTTTAAAAGGAAGAAATGTTTTTTAAAATTCTATCTCTTTTTTTTTTTTTTTTTCTTTTTTTAGGAATTAAAAATCCAGAAGATTAACCCAAAAAAAAGCATATCCAAAGCTGGGTAGGGAGTACGGTGAATTTTCATCAGAATGTTAAAATGTATTTGAGCCTTTCAGAATGGCAAAAAAAAGTTGCATTTCAATTTTTTTGGGAAACAAGGTCTAATATTTAGCACCCACACTGTTCTAAAGGAACTTAATGGAGGTGGTCAGAATCCAGAATGAAAAGAAGAATGAAGTTCATGATAACTTACTAATACAATAGCTTGTAGTTGTAGCTGGCTCCTTCATCTTTGAGTTAATATCCTCTTCATGTGGCAGATAGGGAATAGTCAGTTTATGACAACTCCTAACTTCATTACAGCAATAGAAGAATGACCAGCAATGGGGGATGTCTGAAACAAAGTGGATGTTTGGACAGCTGGGTTTTGGTTTGAATATGCAATGGTAACTGGGGTTGCATGGCAAATAGCTGGGTGTCTGAGAGTGTTGCAGATTCTGTGAGTCTTGTATGTGCTGACTTTAAAATTAAATAAGTAATTTGTGCCTGCTAGGATCATGGTTAAGTGGACACCTTAGAATAGTTGTTGTTTTTCTCTTATGGCCATGGCTGTTCTTAATATTACTCCCTTTATTTTTTTTAAAGGCCTGGTATGGGTTGTTTGATCTCTTGCCAGGTGGCCTAGCAGGAATACTCTGTTCAGTTATGCAAGAAGCATGGATTTGATCCCAAACTCCTCTGAGCATGCTCTTAGGAATACACAGTTATAAAAATAAAAGTATTAGCCTGCAGCCATACTGCTGTGTGCTGTGCTCTTGTCAGATCTCACGTGTTCAGTGAGGTCAGCCCTGCTCAGACCTCTCAGAGTTGGAGCCACAGAATAAAAGAATGTGCCTGAAACACTGTCCTCATCTGTGCCCCACTTGGGGAGTTTCTACTCTATTGTTGTCTGGTTTTTGTTACCTTTTTTCCCTCATATGTACCATTATTTCATAAATGTGCTTTTTTTTTAAGTCAACAAAGGCAATTACTGTGAGTATGCAAAACTGTATGGATGCAGTGCTACGAACAGAATTTTGGAATTCATAACTAAGAGTCTTTCTAGCGACACTTAGGACACTTTGCAATCCAGCCTTCTCTTACAGACCAGTTCAAAGTGCATCAATACAAGACACTAGTTCGGTGCCACTGTGCAAAGAGGTACCATTTTAACCTATGATAGTAATACACAGGTCATCAGATACTCATGTGTGCACTGAAGAAGTTGCATTATTATTGTTAATCATGGAGTTTTCTTTCCAGCACTGCCTGAGCCCTGCATGAAATGCTGCAGCACACTGTGCCCTGGAGAACTTACAGTCTGATGGGCAGTGCAGGCACAGGATGTCAGAAGAGCTCTGGCACTCATGAAGAATGAATAATGTGATGCTGGTGAATTATGTTTAAAGCTGAGAGTCTGGGGCTGAGGAGGAGGCATAGATGACAGGGAACCAGAAAGGGTTGAGGAGGGGACTTTGACAAGAGTGGCAAAGAAGGCAAAGGGGGACAGATACAGTGCCTCTGTCAACTTCAGGTTCTAATTTGTTCCACTCAACTGCATCTTACCCCAAAGCCCCATTACCAGGGGAAAAGGAAGGCCACATGTTTTTTGGGGAAATGTGTGGCAAAAATGTCTCCACAAATCTGAGTCAGAGGTAACACAGATATTAATGTTATACTTAGAGCATCTATACCTCTAGGGAGGAAAAAAAAAGTACTTAGCATATTACTTTTGTCTCCAAATGACAGAACATTGACTAGTTATATGTAGTTTCAACATCCTGTGATCCTGTGAGCATATACTGATCGTCAGCATGCACTCAGAGGAGGTGCTAACTGTCACCAGACAGAACAAGGGACAGATTTTCAAGGAGGATTCTGCCTGTTCTTCTAAGGCAACACTACAAGCAAAACATTAGTCACACCTGAAGCAAAACCTGAGGTCCAAACACCTAAATCTTAGGTGAGCTCAATCCTATGGCCAACTGCAATAGCAAAACATTCCTCAGATCTGAAAAACTGCAAAATTAGAGGGATGTTGGGAGTAATATCTGATCTGTTTTCTGTCCTTCCCTGACCTTGTGCAAAAGCAACTCAGCCAGCTCTGCTTGAATGTTTAACAAATGCTATTCAACAGACTACAAGAAATTTCCAGCATCTTCAAAACATACAACCACAGTAGCACTCTGTATTCTCCTCACCTTTGCTTTTTACATTTTCCCTTCAGGTTCTGAGTCTTATGTTATTAAATTTTGGTGTAAAACATTATAATGAATAATAAGTAGCAACATATTCCATCCTAAAGATATCAAAGATGGAAAAATATTATTGTTTCCATTTTTCTAGTGAGGAAAGTGAGGTACTAATTACTTGCCCAAGGTGACTTTGCTTGGTAAAAGATACTGCAGGAAGAGAAAGAGCAAATTAATGTTTTGAAGGTTGGGTTGGTTTGCCTTTTTTTACTTGAGACGAAGTACTTTGGTGGGAAAATGCAGTTTCAGAAAAGTGAAAATGAGTTCAAATATCAGTCTAAAAGGGTTGGCTCTTGCACATGAATTTGTGGCTGTGACATAATAGATGAATGATCAGTTTGTGTATAGATAATTGAAATAAGTCTAGTCTACAGGACAAAAATCTTTATGCAAGAGTTCTAGACAGGGTGGAAGCACTTGAACATTGTGGAGATGGCAAAGTTAACAGACAGAATAAACGCTCTAGACAGCCAGAGAGTGGTGTGCAAAGGCACAGAAAACCTGATGTGCCCTGAGCTGCTCTAGATCAGCCAGTTGCTCACAGTGAGGACTGTGCTGGCAACTGACAGCAAAATAGAGTGTGCAAAGCCTCTGCGCAGTCCACAAGAAGACCAGTGGAAACATCTGACTTCATTTATTCAACAGTCCAAGGATAAAAGCAGGTTCTGACTGAGGGGGGTCCAGGTCACTATCTTGCTGCTGCAGAACAAAATGACTGAAAGTGGCAGTGCCACCATGCATAAGCAGGATCTCTGCAGTTCCCCCCAACTAGTCTTTTCCCATTGGTATCAACTTGGGTAATAGCTCTGGGAAAGCCAGAAGGCATTTTCCAAACCAGCAGTTAGCATATTTCCTAACTGCAAAGCCTCTGCCGTGCTGTCATGCATGACTTGGGACACTACAAGGTGCTGCTTTTTGCACCCTATGAAAAATCATGTCTTACTGACCGCATGGGAAGAAGGATCTCTCTCTGAATCTTCCCATACCTGGGCAACAGTGGGTAATAGTGCTTCTTTTGTTAGGGGAGAAAAATACTGTGTGTGATTTTATTTTGTTGTTTGGAACTTGCCAGTGCAAAGCAGCAGCAGGGCAAGCTTGGCAGCCACAGATGCCAGCTGACTCCCCCAAAACAGCCCTTGCTGAGGATCCTGACCTCAGGACCATTGAAAATGAGCCAGTGAAAGGTCATTAAATGCAGCCAGTAAACACTGATCTGGAGAGAGAAGAAACTGTGTCCATCATTCTGCTGGCTGGGAATGGTGTCACTCGGTCTCCACCAGCCAGTTGTGTGGGCTGAGACATGCAGCCAGACAGACTAGTGCCTCTTCAGTTGAATTAAACACTGTGTTAAGTAGCTGCTCTTCTGATTTGTCTCCAGACTCTTTCTGCACTGTTATTAACACCTACTTGTGCCCAGTTAGATAGGTCTTGTCTGCACAGGAAAGATGTTTGAGATATGACAAGGTTACACAGGTCACTATGATTTACAGCTCTCACCTGCTGTCAGGGTCTTCCTGGTGCTTTGTCCAGTCCACTGGTACCCTATTATTGCTTCTCACGTGGGGCTCACTGTATCACTGCTACTCCATCACCTCTCTGCCCACCTAATCTAAGACTCAGCCCCTTCCCTTCCCTTCCCTTCCCATCTCTGCGTTAGCTTTCTTTTTGCCTTGTATTGATGGATTTTGCAAACCTGCTGGCTCCTTTTCCTCAGGGTGGCAGGGATAGGCAAATGGGAAGGAGCTGCGTCAGTCTGCCATCACCTCTTGCTTTCTCTTGAGTTTTATAAATGCATTGAATTGGATTTGTATCAGAGCAGCAGAAAGCATTTGGAGGGCTTTCCGTCAGCAGTATATAAATAAAAATGGATCAGAATAGATTGGATTGTGGCTTCTTACATCCGCTTCCCTGTTTTGTTTTTGACAGGTCCTGACACCCACACACACACTCCTTGCTCAGACTTGGTTAGATCTGATTTTTTGTCTGCTTTGAGTTTTTTGCAGGATTTTCCATTCCTCAAAACCTTCTTCTCTTACAATGAGTTTCAGTAGGTATTGCTCAGGTCCTTAGCTCTTAGGCCTTGCGCCCCTATGCTCTCCATCTGATGGGTCTTACCAGGCCCAGCCCTAAAACATCACAGGGCAAGAACTGCACCCTCCTGCAGGCTCTGATATGGGGAAACTGCTGTTGCTGGCTCCTCATCTCCTTTGCAACTCCATTGGGTCTAACGTCGCTCCCTTGCTTCAGTCTATGCCTCCCACTGCAAAGGAGTGAAACTGAGCAAAGAA